GAGTCGGCAGGACTATGGGATGAACGACGTCATTCCTCTGTTGCACGTCCTGGAACAAATGCTGTTAACAATGGCTGGTCAGGGTGCGGTAGACGTGGCGCACAGATCTCAACGCCACATGACCCCTGTGGGGGCAGGACAGGAAGAAGAGGAGGAGGTAGAGGAGGACATTGGTGCTCAGGAATTATTGAGTGAAATGGGTGGTTTTTCCACTCAGCGGACAGGAGTGGAGGAGCAGGAGCATCTGGTAGAGGAGGAGGAGGAGGAGACAGAGGACCCAGACGCACCGTGGCAGTATGCTGTGGAGATGGAGGCAGGGAGTCCCTCGCATTCCTTGGCACAAATGGCCCATAGCATGCTCGGTTGCTTGCGTAGCGACAGCCGAATAATAACCATCAGACAGAGGGATGACTTTTGGCTGTCCACCTTGTTGGACCCTCGCTACCGTTCAAAAATGGTGGCCTTTTTCACACCTGCTGAGAGGGAGGCCAAAATAACGTACTATAAAAACCACCTATGTAGTCAGTTGGTCTCTGCCTTTGTGCGCCAACGTCCATCCTCAGACACTGTGGGCCCTGTGCGCTCGCGCGTTCCGCTGCCATGGCAGCAGGGGAGGGGTGGGGTGGTAGGAGCAGTGGCAGCTCCACCAGCAGCGGCTGCCTCAGTCTGCAGTCGATGATGAGTAGCTTTCTTCACCAGCGCAGTGAGGAAACTACTAACCAGCCAGCAGCAGCAGCAGCAGCAGCAGCAGCATCAGGTGGACCTGGAGCAGGACCTCAAACAACAGGCTTGGGCCTACTTGGACAGCACCCTGCCAACCGAGGTAGACAATCCCCTTGACTACTGGGCAACGAAACTTGACCTTTGGCCCCAACTAGCTGAATTTGCCCTTGAAAGGCTGTCATGCCCGGCCAGTAGCGTGGCATCGGAGCGCGTGTTTAGTGCGGCAGGAGGTATTGTAACTCCGCGGAGGACACGACTGTCCACCCAAAGTGTGGAGAGACTCACGTTTGTGAAAATGAATCAGGCGTGGATTAGTCTGGATTTCAAACCACCAGTTCCTGACACAACTGACTAAATCCGCCATGAATCATGCCTCAAACATGTGCCACTTTCAGGTCTCCTCACACACTGCTGGTGTGTTCCATTTTTTGACATAGGGTGCTGGCAGATTACGGACCTCCTATAGCTGCTGCCAGGCCCCTAATCTGCCATAGGCCTCTATATACCGCCTCCTCATGCTGCTGCCAAGTCCAGAGTCTGTCATGGGTCCCTGTACGGCCTCCCATTGCTGCTGTCTCCATCGCCACACTCTGCCATGTGCCACTTTCAGGTCTCCTCACACACTGCTGGTGTGTTGAATTTTTTGACATAGGGTGCTGGCAGATTACAGGCCTCCTATAGCTGCTGCCAGGCCCCTAATCTGCCATAGGCCTCTATATACCGCCTCCTCATGCTGCTGCCAAGTCCAGAGTCTGTCATGGGTCCCTGTACGGCCTCCCATTGCTGCTGTCTCCATCGCCACACTCTGCCATGTGCCACTTTCAGGTCTCCTCACACACTGCTGGTGTGTTAAATTTTTTTGACATAGGGTGCTGGCAGATTACGGGCCTCCTATAGCTGCTGCCAGGCCCCTAATCTGCCATAGGCCCTATATACCGCCTCCTCATGCTGCTGCCAAGTCCAGAGTCTGTCATGGGTCCCTGTACGGCCTCCCATTGCTGCTGTCTCCATCGCCACACTCTGCCATGTGCCACTTTCAGGTCTCCTCACACTGCTGGTGTGTTGAATTTTTTGACATAGGGTGCTGGCAGATTACGGGCCTCCTATAGCTGCTGCCAGGCCCCTAATCTGCCATAGGCCCCTATATACGCCTCCTCATGCAGCTGCTGCCAGGTCCAGAGTCTCTCATGGGTCCCTGTACGGCCTCCCATTGCTGCTGTCTCCATCGCCACACTCTGCCATGTGCCACTTTCAGGTCTCCTCACACACTGCTGGTGTGTTGAATTTTTTGACATAGGGTGCTGGCAGATTAACGGGCCTCCCATAGCTGCTGCCAGGCCCCTAATCTGCCATGGGCCCCTATATACCGCCTCCTCATGCTGCTGCCAAGTCCAGAGTCTGTCATGGGTCCCTGTACGGCCTCCCATTGCTGCTGTCTCCATCGCCACACTCTGCCATGTGCCACTTTCAGGTCTCCTCACACTGCTGGTGTGTTGAATTTTTTGACATAGGGTGCTGGCAGATTACGGGCCTCCTATAGCTGCTGCCAGGCCCCTAATCTGCCATAGGCCCCTATATACCGCCTCCTCATGCTGCTGCCAAGTCCAGAGTCTGTCATGGGTCCCTGTACGGCCTCCCATTGCTGCTGTCTCCATCGCCACACTCTGCCATGTGCCACTTTCAGGTCTCCTCACACTGCTGGTGTGTTGAATTTTTTGACATAGGGTGCTGGCAGATTACGGGCCTCCTATAGCTGCTGCCAGGCCCCTAATCTGCCATAGGCCCCTATATACCGCCTCCTCATGCTGCTGCCAAGTCCAGAGTCTGTCATGGGTCCCTGTACGGCCTCCCATTGCTGCTGTCTCCATCGCCACACTCTGCCATGTGCCACTTTCAGGTCTCCTCACACACTGCTGGTGTGTTGAATTTTTTGACATAGGGTGCTGGCAGATTACGGGCCTCCTATAGCTGCTGCCAGGCCCCTAATCTGCCATAGGCCTCTATATACCGCCTCCTCATGCTGCTGCCAAGTCCAGAGTCTGTCATGGGTCCCTGTACGGCCTCCCATTGCTGCTGTCTCCATCGCCACACTCTGCCATGTGCCACTTTCAGGTCTCCTCACACTGCTGGTGTGTTGAATTTTTTGACATAGGGTGCTGGCAGATTACGGGCCTCCTATAGCTGCTGCCAGGCCCCTAATCTGCCATAGGCCCCTATATACCGCCTCCTCATGCTGCTGCCAAGTCCAGAGTCTGTCATGGGTCCCTGTACGGCCTCCCCATTGCTGCTGTCTCCATCGCCACACTCTGCCATGTGCCACTTTCAGGTCTCCTCACACACTGCTGGTGTGTTCAATTTTTTGACATAGGGTGCTGGCAGATTACGGGCCTCCCATAGCTGCTGCCAGGCCCCTAATCTGCCATGGGCCCCTATATACCGCCTCCTCATGCTGCTGCCAAGTCCAGAGTCTGTCATGGGTCCCTGTACGGCCTCCCATTGCTGCTGTCTCCATCGCCACACTCTGCCATGTGCCACTTTCAGGTCTCCTCACACTGCTGGTGTGTTGAATTTTTTGACATAGGGTGCTGGCAGATTACGGGCCTCCTATAGCTGCTGCCAGGCCCCTAATCTGCCATAGACCCCTATATACCGCCTCCTCATGCTGCTGCCAGTCCAGAGTCTGTCATCATGGGTCCCTGTACGGCCTCCCATTGCTGCTGTCTCCATCGCCACACTCTGCCATGTGCCACTTTCAGGTCTCCTCACACACTGCTGGTGTGTTGAATTTTTTGACATAGGGTGTGCTGGCAGATTACGGGCCTCCTATAGCTGCTGCCAGGCCCCTAATCTGCCATAGGCCTCTATATACCGCCTCCTCATGCTGCTGCCAAGTCCAGAGTCTGTCATGGGTCCCTGTACGGCCTCCCATTGCTGCTGTCTCCATCGCCACACTCTGCCATGTGCCACTTTCAGGTCTCCTCACACACTGCTGGTGTGTTCATTTTTTGACATAGGTTGCTGGCAGATTACGGGCCTCCCATAGCTGCTGCCAGGCCCCTAATCTGCCATGGGCCCCTATATACCCGCCTCCTCATGCTGCTGCCAAGTCCAGAGTCTGTCATGGGTCCCTGTACGGCCTCCCATTGCTGCTGTCTCCATCGCCACACTCTGCCATGTGCCACTTTCAGGTCTCCTCACACACTGCTGGTGTGTTCAATTTTTTGACATAGGGTGCTGGCAGATTACGGGCCTCCTATAGCTGCTGCCAGGCCCCTAATCTGCCATAGGCCTCTATATACCGCCTCCTCATGCTGCTGCCAAGTCCAGAGTCTGTCATGGGTCCCTGTACGGCCTCCCATTGCTGCTGTCTCCATCGCCACACTCTGCCATGTGCCACTTTCAGGTCTCCTCACACACTGCTGGTGTGTTCCATTTTTTGACATAGGGTGCTGGCAGATTACGGGCCTCCTATAGCTGCTGCCAGGCCCCTAATCTGCCATAGGCCTCTATATACCGCCTCCTCATGCTGCTGCCAAGTCCAGAGTCTGTCATGGGTCCCTGTACGGCCTCCCATTGCTGCTGTCTCCATCGCCACACTCTGCCATGTGCCACTTTCAGGTCTCCTCACACTGCTGCAGGTGTGTTGAATTTTTTGACATAGGGTGCTGGCAGATTACGGCCTCCTATAGCTGCTGCCAGGCCCCTAATCTGCCATAGGCCCCTATATACCGCCTCCTCATGCTGCTGCCAGGTCCAGAGTCTGTCATGGGTCCCTGTACGGCCTCCCATTGCTGCTGTCTCCATCGCCACACTCTGCCATGTGCCACTTTCAGGTCTCCTCACACTGCTGGTGGGTTCCATTTTTTGTCATAGGGTGCTGGCAGATTACGGGCCTCCCATAGCTGCTGCCAGGCCCCTAATCTGCCATGGGCCCCCGTACCGACTCCTCATGCTGCTGCCAGGCCCGTAATCTGTCATGGGCCCCTGTTGTCGCTTGTTGGCATATTCCGCTCGTTCAGATGCTCCTTCTCCTGCTACTCCTCTTCACGGATTCCGTCAGCAGTCTTTCTTGGAATCCGTTTCCAAGAGACAACAGTTTGCGAGCACGCACCCGACGGTGCAGAAGCTGAACGAACGTCCTCCTGTCCAAGTTGCTGCTGCCAGGCTCGTAATCTGTCATGCGCCCCTGTACCGCCTCCTCATGCTGCTCCCAGGTCCAGAGTGTGTCATGGGCCCCGTACCGACTCCTCATGCTGCTGCCAGGCCCGTAATCTGTCATGGGCCCCTGTACCGCCTCCCCATGCTGCTGCCAGGTCCAGAGTGTGTCATGGGTCCCTGTACGGCCTCCCATTGCTGCTGCCAGGCCCGTAATCTGCCATGGGCCCCCGTACCGACTCCTCATGCTGCTGCCAGGCCCGTAATCTGTCATGGGCCCCTGTACCGCCTCCTCATGCTGCTGCCAGGGCCAGAGTGTGTCATGGGTCCCTGTACGGCCTCCCATTGCTGCTGTCTCTATCGCCACACTCTGCCATGTGCCACTTTCAGGTCTCCTCACACTGCTGGTGTGTTTCCATTTTTGTCATAGGGTGCTGTATGGCCTCCCATTGCTGCTGCCATCCACCGCCACACTGTGGCTCCACACTCTGGTTTTGGCCCCGTGACTGCCCAAATGAGTGAAGTGTGCGGTGATTCTAAGATCGACGGCACTCATCTGCATGTCATACTGACTGACAGTATTATTTCTCTTCCCCAGCAGACTCCAAGGGCATTTAAATTAAAGGTACAGTGTTCTGCACTAATATTAAGTCTCTCTGAAGCCTAGAAACACCCTTTTTTAAGTTAAATTCACAGCGAATATATTCGACTCGAATCGAAATTTTTCCACGAATTCGCCGAATCAGTCGAATCGAATTTTTGAATACTTCGCTCATCTCTAGTCATTTATAAAGAGAATCTGCTACTATAAATATGCTATCACATTAGGAACTGTTGGTCCTCTATGAGATAGCAATAAAGATAAAAAAAAATTAAGTCATTGAAATGAACAGTTCCACCTCTTGAACACAGTTTCTCAAAAAAAAGAGAAACTTTGTTTGAGAAACTGTGAGCCTAGATGTGGTGCAATTAGTGGAGCGAAATTTGACAAATATAAAGTTAACATTCTCTGGGCTAATAGGCAAGAGGTTATCAAAATATAACATGGGGGCTGGGCACTGTCTTGAGGGACATGAACCAATGCTGGAGCAGTGATTGTTTAAATGACTCAAAGGGAAAAAATTAAAAAGGCCCGTTTACTTTAAATAACTTGCCTTAAGAGTACCCTAATTCAGCCTATGAAGGAGCAAATCTTTCCAATTTAAATAAAGTTCTGCAGCAGCACTGACATTCATTACAAAAGAAAAAGTCTTTTAAATTGCTGGCTTCTGTGAAAAAAAAAAAAAACAACACATATACCCCTCCAAGGGTCTGCTCTGTATTTTGGGGGGCTTTTTAAGGGGTTTCTGTACTTTATTCAATAAAGCAGCTAGTAATAAAAATTAAATTTTCTGGCAATTCAAGCTATAGTTTTTTTTTGTAAATGTCATGTTTGCTTTAACACATTCTGCATCAAAAGAAAAAAAAAATGATAGAGTTTCATTCAAATCACACACCAGACCCTTTTGAGTGCAGCATGTATTTTCAGGGAATACCCAAAGCAAAAAAAGAGAGTGAGGTCCACCAAAAAATGTATACCTGCTACAGATTTTATGTGGGATCCCATGCAAAAAAAAAACAACTAAACTAAATGTGAGATCCCCAGGGTCTATTCCAGAACCTTAATCCTAGCAAGCAGCTTGGCTAGCCAGAGAAGGGGGATGAGTGTGATCCCCTTTCCTGAGCCATACCAGGCCACATGCCCTTAGCATGGGTTGGTAGTTAGCAGGAGGGGGGACCTCCCTGTCAAAGCACCTTGTCCCCATGTTTTTTCTGTCTGTGCAATACATCCCAAACTCTTAAAACATTTAATGTGAACCAACAGTATAAGAAATATGTGCGAGCGCACCTGAAAAGACAATATAGCAGCTGTACACTAGGTAACCATAAAAACCTCCAAAACCATATAAATCAAAAAGTGCAGCGCTAAAAAGAAACACTAAAATATAAATATAAACAGTTCATGTGATGATTTTAAGTGACATCAGGTGCCTTCATATACTCGTATCTTTCTGGTAGTAAGGTGCTGTGGGATAAGGTGCAGAAAGAATGCACACTTACCAGAACGCACAATTTAATGAGCGTTTGTAAATATGTTTCTCCTGTGGTCATCTACTGGTCAAGGATGGTGTCTGGACTCTAATATCCTCCCTTCAGTGGTCCTGGATGTTTGTCAAGGTGGTCCAGTGTACCCTCCAGGTGATAGCCTATGGACTGCTCTGCAGTGGTAGAGGGAACTCCTTCTCCAGTGGTCAGGTGAATGACTGTGGATTGATACTCCCCAAGGGAGTCAAAGCAGAGACATCTCCATAGTGTAGTAAGTTTAGTAGTAACTTTATTAAGGTAAAACGAGGATGTGTAGAGTAAATATACAAGCGATAATATGGACTAACCGTCCAGTGTTAAAGATGGCCGCCGGAGCTCCACGATGCTCCGGCGGCGTGACGTCACGGCGTTGCTGGCTCCTCCTACGCGTTTCGTGCACACGCACGTCGTCTGGGGGGGATTTGCCAATAACGCCGAGCCGCGTGACGCCAATTTATATGCTCGGCGCATGCGCATTAGAGAGGCGCCATATTGGAGAAGTCTGATCATTGGACGTCCGTGTTATCGTACGGGCGCCATTTTCTGTTGGTTATTTTAGACTTAGAAATAACATTGCAGTTACAATGTGTCTATTATACTGGCGGTAATTTATTTGCTTATGTGTAAGTGCGGACAACTGCCATCCATTGTCACTATGTTCTATATTTAACCTGTCAAGGCTGCTTGATGTGCATTTTTATTATAAAATATACAAAGTGTGCATTAAAACACCTTGTCAATCAGCCTGCTGTTCATTTGAAAAAATGCCAATTCATTTCAAATAGAAATGCAGCACCAGCATATAAATAGTCTATATTCACAAATACAAATTCATTACATCATGACATAATAAAATTCATTTAAACTTAAAATATTCATGATAAAATTGCAATAAAGATAATACAAATTATTGTTAATAATCCTAAATGATAACCATAAATAATTTCAAATAGTTAGAATAGTAATAAAATGTTTCTCTTTAAAACGTATATATATATAAAACCATATATGTAAAAAATTTATTGTTTTTATAAATTTAATATAAGATCCCCATATACTGACATCATAATTCTGAAAAGTATATCTCATATTTTAAATCTTTTAAATAGTGTTAGATCATATATTATCTTATTCTATTTTTTGTTAAAACCCCGAATAAAACGTACACCAAGAGATATTAACTATTATTAATGAAGCAATTTAAGTCTATGTCTATATTGTGGCCTTTTGGGTGCAGGGTCTGGAGCTCATGTATCCAACGTGTTTCAAGTTGTGAAACAGCCCGCAGTTTATTCACCCCCCTCCAGTGTGGTTGTACCGCATCTATTCCAACAAAAACATAAGGACGAAGGGTCTTTATTATGTTTCCGTTTGAAGTGATAGGACAAAGAATGGTCCTTATAACCCTTTTTTATATTGTTGACGTGTTCTCTCAGTCTGTCGCGCGTAAACGTCTAGTTGTACGTCCCACGTATTGTAGTTTACACGCACATTCAAGGAGGTAGACTATGTTCTTACTATAACACGTAATACATTTGTCAATATTGTATGCTCTACCTGTAGTACATGAAATAAAAGAATATTGTTTTTGCTTTCTTGTATTATTGGTTGTGCATATAACGCACTTATTACAAGGAAAAAAACCTTTTAGGTTTGATGCGAAAGAGATTTTCTCTGGGGATTTATGACATTCGGTGCTAATCGATGTCGCAGGGCCACGGCTTTTTTTATATATAATTTCTGGCTTATCTGGTAGAATTTTGGAAAGGATAGGATCCGTCATCAGAACATTCCAGTTTTTATTTATAATACGTTTAATAGCTCTATGTTGTATAGAATACGTGGTTATGAAAGGACAAGTCAAGGAATTATTCGATGGTCCTTTGTTTTCTAGTAGCGTACTTCTGGCTGTATTTGCTACTTGTTGAATTGTGTTATTCAAATTCTGTTGGGAGTATCCTTTTTCTAGGAACTTATTCTTTAAAATCTTAGCTTGTGTATGATATGTATTGAGTTCTGTGCAGTTTCTACGAATTCTTAAAAATTGGCCTTTCGGGATGTTCGCCAACCATGTGGGATGGTGGCAACTATCAAGCGGAATAAATCTGTTCCTGTCAGTTTTTTTAAAAAAGGACTCCGTTACAATCATACCATTAACGTTTGATAGTGTCAAATCAAGAAAATGTATTTCTTTAGTACTATAAGAGTAACTGAATTCAATATTAAGTTTGTTGTTATTTAGTGTAGTAAAAAAATTTAATAAAGATTCCTCCTCCCCATTCCATAATAAAAACACATCGTCTATAAATCTTTTATAATAAATATTAACTCTGGCCAATCTCTGGCATAAATTAAAAAACTCCTCCCAGTAGGCCATAAAAAGATTAGCTAGACTGGGGGCAAATTTTGCCCCCATCGCTACGCCTTTGGTTTGGAGAAAGTAATTATAAAATTGGTCAAACCAAAAATAGTTATTCTGCATAGCGAACTGTAACAGTGATAAAATATATTCAATATGTGGGGAGGACAAAGTGCTATAAGTGTCCAGGAAATATTTTGTAGCTTCCATCCCATCAGCATGTGCGATATTACTGTATAGGGAAGTGACATCCGCTGTTACTAGAAACGTTTGAGATGAAATCCTAATGTCTTTCATGTCATTAAGAATATGTTTTGTGTCTTTTAGAAAGGAAGGGGTCTGTGTTACTAGAGGCTGCAGGAAATAATCTATATATTCTCCTGCTTTTGAAAAAAGTGATCCTATTCCACTAATGATAGGTCGTCCTGGTGGTTTCACCGGATTCTTGTGTACTTTCGGAAGTATATATAGAACACAGGGAGTTTCGGAGCTGAAGGACATAAAAAATCTTTCTTTTTTATTTATCATGCCATCTTCAAATCCCTTTTTTGATAATATTTTTCAGACCCTTCTTAAGAGTTGGTAGTGGATTGTTAGGTAAACGTATATAGGTGGTGGTATCATTGAGGATTTTATATGCTTCCTCAAGATAATCTGATTTGTTAAGTATAACCACCCCTCCTCCTTTGTCCGCTGGCCTAATGACTAGATCTTTCCTTTCCAAAAGAAGATCAAATCGCTTTAGTGATATTAGTATTAGAAGTCTGTTTTAATTTCAGCTCATCCAAGTCTTTTAACACCATTTCTCTGAATATATTAACATGAGACCTGGATTGGGTGTGGGGGGTTGTAGGTTGAAGCATTTCTTAATGTTGAACAGTTAGTAGTATTATTATTGTAAGTAATAGGATTAGAGTGAAAATATCGCTTTAGGGAAAGTTGTCGTGAGAACCTATGAACATCAATATAAGTTTGGAATTTGTTTAGCTTTTTCTTTGGAGCAAATTTCAACCCCTTATCTAGGAGCTGTAACTCGGTTGGGGTTAATACTGTATTACTCAAATTGAAGATGCCCTGACCTACTAAGTTTTCCTTCTTTTGCCTGTTTCTGCAGACCCTTTTGCCACCCCTTTTTCCTCTGCGGAACCGCTTCTTTTCCGAACCCT